CACATTCACAATCACTCACACACTCAAAATCACACACACAAACCAAACAACTCATACTCATACACACACAAACACTCATACTCATACACTCACAATCACTCTCTCACACACACACACACACGACATATCTACACCTACATCAGAACCTGCCCATTCTCTCCCCACCCTTCCCCCATCTCTCCCCCCCCCCCCCACCTTGAAGACGTCTCCGCCCCGGGGCCCGTGAGCAGCGACCAGTCGACGTGTGGACGTAGCACAGGTGGAAGTTGTTCTGGATCCGGACGCTCCCTCTCAGGATGCGCGTGAGGGAGTACAGGCCGATGACCTGAAGGTGTTGGGGAGCTTTTAGTTGAGAATATATAATATATATGAGTGCGTGTGTGTAAAAAAAAAAGAAAAAAAAGGTAAAAAGGAAGAAGAAGAAGAAGAAGAAGTAGAAGAAGAAGAAGAAGAGAAGAAAAAAATATATATAAAATATACACACACACACAACACAAGAATACTAGCAATGATAATAGTTGCAATTAGCCTACGAATATTAATAATGGTAATGGTTCTGATAATGCTATGATAATGACAACTGTATGTGTATTGCTAATGGTAATGGTGATAGCAACAGCAGTAGCAACAACAATAGCATTAGTAAGAATAATAACAGAAGTAAATATTGTCGTATTTATTGCGATAGTAATGGAAAATAATAACAGTAATAACAATTACCTCTACAACACAACTACTACTGCTACCACTTATATTACTGCTGCTGCTGTTGCTACAACAACGACAAAAACAACAACCACCATTACTACTCTTACTACTACTGCTCCTCCTCTACTACTAGTAGTATTCCCACCGCTATTAATATTTGCGTTTCCCTTAGACCTTAACATCAGCGTAAAATTCTCCTCCTCCTCCTTCTCCTCCTTCCTCTGCAACACCCAACACTCCAGGAATTCTCATTATGGCAGATAAACACGCAGCTCTCTGTCATTATTTCTGCGCGGAATTTACGGGTTTGGGGTCAGCATTTTTGTCTTTTGTGGCAACAACTGCAAAAATATCAACAATAATAATAACAACAAATACTCCTACTACTATTATTACTACCACTATCAATGCTACTGTTACTTCTGCTGCTGCTACTACTACTACTACTACTAACTACTACTACTACTACTGCTACAACCACCACCACTACTACTACTACTTCTTCTACTACCACTACTATCAATACTTCTACTACTATTACTGCAACTACCCCTAATTCAATTTCTCCAACGACCACTTACATAGGGTATCCAATCTCTTCCTTACACTGCACACCCCACCATACATCACACACATAACACATGAAAACATACACCCCGTTGAGTCGCAGAAACCACCAGCCATCAAAAACACACCCACTGCCTTTCTCCTCATTAGAACTCCCCAAAAATCCTGACGTCAAACTGCCTTCGCTCTCCTCACAGCCCTCACTCACCGCCTCGTCCCCCCCCCCCTCATATCGTTTCCCAAAGAATTCGCATCATATCTGCCAAGAGCTTTATGAAGTCCGCAAATTCGTCTTTTCGGTCGGATCTTGGAGGATGGCGCACAAACTTGGGATTTTTCTGTAATTGCTTCTGTTTTCAGTGCAAATATTATTCCTACTGCTGCGAATTTCTACCGTTGCTTTAAAACGATCATCATTTCTATTGCTGCTCATTTCTGTTGTTGTTTTAGTTTCTGATACGATCATTATCCCTGTTGCTATTAGTTTCTATCGTCGCTATTTTATCTAGTACTATTATTATTTCAATTACTACTTATTTCTGCCATTGCTTTTGTTTCTAAAAGGGTTATCATTTCTATTGCTGTTTATTTCTATTATTGCTATTGTTAGTAAAAGCGTTATTATTGTTACCGCTACCAATTTCTACCCTTGTTTTTTTTCTAATATGATTATCATTCTATTGCTACCAATTCCTATCGCTGTCATTGTTTCCAATATGATCCTTATTGCTATTGCTATTTTCAACTACTGCGACGCGAACTACATTCTTAAAATCTCCTAAAATTGCATTCTCTCCTAGTTGACGCCCTTACTACCCACTTTTTACTACCCACTTTTTACTTCTTAAAAGAGACTAAATTGGCTTTCCTTTCTCCTTAAACGCTTACTCGCTGTTCTTAAAACTCCTACAACGCGCTTTTCCAGCTACTTAAGACTCCTAAAACATCCGTTTCCCTAAAACATCCGCTTCCCCCTCGCTCGCTACCCGCTTCCTCTGGCCTTCTCTCCCTTACTATCCGCGATATCCACTTCCTCAGGCCCTAACCTCCCCCACCCCCACCCCACCTCAAAAAAGAACACTTACCCTTTACTTCCTACCCTTAATACCCACTTCCTCGCCCCCCCCCCCCCCAGCATAATCCCCTGCCCTCAAAAGAGAAAGAGAGAGAAGAGAGAGAGAGAAAGAGAAAGAGAAGAGAAAGAGAAAAGAGAAGAGAAAGAGAAAGAAAGAAGAAAAGAAGAAAGAGAAAGAGAAAGAGAAAGAGAAGAGAAAGAAAAGAGAAAAAGAAAGAAAAAAGAAAAGAAAAAGAAAAAAGAAAAAGAAAAAGAAAAAGAAAAAGAAAAAGAAAAAGAAAAAGAAAAAGAAAAAGAAAAAGAAAAGAAAAAGAAAAAGAAAAAGAAAAAGAAAAGAAAAAGAAAGAGAGAGAGACAGACACCAAACAACCCCCCCCCCAAAAAAAAAAAGCTTCCTTTCCTCACCTCGAGGTCATTGACGCCGTAGACGATGAGGGCGTAACCCTGGTGCCTGACGCTGCCCGGATGACGCTCAGGTTGGGGAAGAGCTGCCCCAGGGACCTCAGGCCTCGCACGGTACACCAGCAGGAACTCGGTGATCTCGACGAGCTCGGGGAACGACCACGTCTTCCAGTCCTCTTCGGTGGCCTGAGGGAGGGACAGGAGGGAGGTGAGGGAGGGAGAGGAGGGAGGTGAGGGAGAGGAGGGAG